TCACATGTCATGTTGTGTGCAATGCAGGCCAGCGAGGACTGGACCGCCGCAGTTATTGCGCTGAATGATTACTTCCAGTAATTCAGAAGAGGACACCGGCCTGTGATATCTCAGAAGCTGCTGTTTTATCCGCAAGGCATAGTAGTATCTCTCAAGAGGTGAATAATTTCATTCAGATGAGAGGAACCTAAACTGTAGTCCAGAGTGTAAAAAAGATTGGTTCCGGAAACATAGTACTACATAGAATCTACTCCCTCTGTCTCATAATATAAGACCGTTTTTGGCACTACACTAGTGTTAAAAACGTTCTTATATTATGGGACGGAGGGAGTAGCAAGTACTTACTAAAAAGGAAGCGTATATTGACAATTGAACTCTCAACGCAAGAGGTGAATAGATCACCTCAACCCTTTACTTGTACTTGACTGATTAAAACTTGATGAGGTGTGCACAAGAAGAATTTGCTTCAAAACTAGCTTGCGACTGAATGAAACCACACGACACCAGTGAACCAAACCCAACCCTTGTCTCGCTGGTGTGAACGTTGGAGACCCTTGGAATGGATAATGACACCAGCGGTCCGCACAACAAGACAGCTGAACCGACTGCCCATGTCCATGTCTCCTCAGCTGAACATGAAGCCTCATTCACGGTGAGAGAGAGAGGACATGTTTCATTCATTCCCAGTGACAGGAACCTACCTACCGAGTTGGAAAAGTGTACATAGTGAGTGAAAATGATTTAAATGATTCCAGAGGCATACTGTTGGTTAGGTTACCACCTATAGCATTTGGTACTGTCAATTTAACTCTCATAATTAAGTTTGTGGACCTTGCAGTTGGTTCTCTGAATTATTTGCTTTACATAATGAAGGACACTAGTGCCATTAGTACCATACAAGAGATTTGAAGAAGCAATCATGTTTGCTGCTGTGACATCTCTGCATCATCAAAATGAGAGAAACCTACAGAGTTCAAAGTGTTAAGAATGATGATTCAAATGATTTCTCCGCAAACATATTGCCAACTGGAGCATAAAAACGCTATAATTACCACACACACACACACACACACGCACACACACACTGTAAATTGTGAAGTGAATATGAAGCAATCTTGTGTTGTAAACCTCACCACTGAATCTTGAAGACAGACAGACACAAGATTGCTTCATATTCAGTAAGGAGTAGTGTAGTTTTGAACTGACAAAACTCTTGAAGCCAGACAAGAATAAACTTATCACACCAACGGTTGGTGGGAACGAAGGGAGTAGCTGGGAGTAGCTAGTAGCGCCATTGAGCTCGAGGAAATCGGCATCCAGCTCACTGCCAGCAACAAAACATGGTTCACAGACATGAGCATCCAGAGAGGCTGCCTCTTGGGCCAGCTCTCCGTGACGCCCTTGTTCGTCAGCGACTTCACTGCTTGCTGGCTCGTCAACATGGCAGCTTACGAGGCCTCCGTGGCCATCACATATCCATCAGACGGCTTCGCCATCAGCTCGTACATCTCTGCCCTAGCAATGCTCATGGACAAGGAAGAGGACGTGCACCAGCTGCGAGCCAAGCACCTCATTCACAGCTTCTTCAGTGACCATGAGCTGCTTGTTTTCTTCAAGAGCCTCGCCCGCCACATGCGCCTCGGCCACCGCTACTTCGTCATCACAGAGAAGATTCACAACTTCAAGCGTGAAAGGCCTCTGAGAATCACCATGCATAGGTTCGTCTACAACAACTTCAGGGTCATCGTCGCGGTGCTCTCTATTGTAAGTGTGCTCGTGGGTATCTTCAGAACCTTGATGAGTCTCAAGCAGCATCAACCATAGTAATTCGGATGAACGATGTGTGTTGCTAAATTATTTTATGATTCATCTGCTGTTTTTGTGCTTATTGTGTTGTGATTATTGTGTTGTGATTGTGATCAATATCGTACGTCTCTGCGTGTAAAATTTGCCAGCCCCTTCCTTTGATCTCTTCTTAGTTAGGTGTGTATAAGATGTAAAGTTTGTATCGTCAATGGTTTTTCAAAATAATATTGTTGTGTTTTTAATTTGAATTATTCCTGGTCAAGCCTCCAAGTCCAGCACCTTCCCTTTTCTTAGTTATCCAGCACATGTTCGAACTGAAATAAGATGGAAAGAATTCATAAGAATAGAAGATGAATGCATCTGCGAAATGCAGAAATAAGAGAACAGAGGGAAGCTTATTTAGAGCAGAGTACTAATAATGTGCCAAAGGAAGGTTCCGATCCAGTAACGAGTAATTTCTAGATTTTACATTGGGTCTGAATCTGAGTGGATGTTTAAAATCCGACGAAATTTGTAACTTTCCTATGTTTTATGTTTTACCAGTCCAAATGCGACAAAGGTGAAAATTTCTGTGGTAACTTTCCTCCCGAGCTTCATTGAAATTTGTATGAACCAACCCCCTAGCTTCCAAGGATAGAAGGCCAGTTGCTTTGGCTGTTTTCCAACTGTGCACAGGTTTAGAAACTGGTAGCAGTCAGAGATACTCCTCATAGCCATACCAAGTGGCCAGATCAAAACCGTAGCATCTTGGAGTCTTCTTCTATTTTCAAGGTATTGAAGTCTCTTGTCTTGCACATCGATCTCATTTTTTTTTATTTTTTTTGAACAGACATCATCGATCTCATTGAGTAGGGCTACTACCCAAACGAAGGGCCTAACCTTATGTGCGATGGGAAATCCTGTCGAAAGTCGAAACTGCCCATGGAAGAGGTTGTTCGGACCAGTGTTTTCTCGAGCGAGTGGAGATGTACGTGGACGGGTTGCCCAAAGCTCAGCTCCAATCGCCATCTCATGTGTGGCCTTTGGGGGAAACAAGATACCCAGGTGTTCGTCAACCGTGTTAGAGCGCTTGGGTCGGCGCGGACAAAAATGGAGGCCCAACGCGCCGACCTAAAAGCAAATCGCATCCATCTGGCGTCCGTGCCGACCCATTTCCGGCCTAAAATTGCGCCTCGAATGCGTTGGCGCGGACGCGCCGCGCGTCTCCTCGCCGTCCGCCGCGTCCCCACCTGTAGGTCACCCAACCGTCACCCGTCGTCTTATTAATGACGACCACCGATAGAGGGCCCACTAGTCAGCCAGTGGAAGCGTCCTTTTTTAACACGTGCGGCAGGGGCCGGCCTCATCCACTTCTCCCGTCCACATCTGGCCCGCCCACCACTCCCTTTGCTTCCTCACCCGACCGCAAACCCTAGCGCGCCATGGGCCTCTTCGGCAGCAGCAATGGCAAGGGCAGGGGGCAAGGGCACCCCTGGCGCCTCGTCCTCCCGTACTCCCCCTCCCCCTCCTCCGGCGCCGGCGCGTTTCTGACCTGGTCGCCGGCGCCTGCGCATCCCGGTGCACCAAGCGAGGTGGCACTGGGAGTACAGGCAGCCGCTGTCGTACCCCGACGTCACGCCGCCGCATCATTGGCATCTGGATCCGCAGCGGATCCCGGTGCTGGCGGTTCCGCGGAGCCAGCGGGCGCAAGACGAGGAGGTGCACAGGCGCCGCGCGCAGCTCACGCCAGAGCAACGTCGGCTGCCAGAGTACGCCGCCGACTCTCCCAACTGGGAGGCTTCGTTCGCCCTCGAACACGAGGAGCATCGGTGTTCGGGTGTCGACACAGTCCTGCCGCCGTTCCCACCGCCGCCCCCGCAGGTATAGCCGGAGGACATGGAGGCAGAGGCGGTGTACCAAGCGCCCTCGAGTAGGCCCTGCATCACGCGCTCGAGGCTAGCTGCCTCGAGGAGGACGCGCACTGGGATGGGCTGGAGCAAGTCCTTGCCCTGTCGGCGGTGGGGGACTCCGTCCACACCCCGCTGTTCGTGCCGCCACCGCCACCGTAGCCGCCCGTCCAGCCCAAGCCGGAGCCGGAGCCGGAGCCGACGTGGGAAGAGCTCCCCGCCTCCACCCACTTGGCCGGAGGAGGCCTACTCGTGGACGGGTCAGTACCGCAAGTGGGTGAGCGCGCCTCCCGTCCACTCCGTCGCGATACTGGTGCAGGAGGCGGCCCACTTCGAGCGCTGGAAGGAGCACTGACTCCGCCAGGAGCAGACCGACGGCGAGGAGCAGATGCGCTACGAGGCCATGCTCCAACGCAACGCGGAGGCACTCCGGCTCGAGGAGGAGGAGGAGGAGCGCGGCTGGCCGCAATGCCGCCGCCCGAGCAGACGCCGGAGGAGGCTGCCCTGGCAGCGTACCAGGCGGTGTTCGGGTGGGCTAGCCCTGCTCCGGTCTTCATCGACCTCATCACGACGGCGACATCGACAACAAGGGCAAGGGCAAGGCCAACGACGTCTAGGGCAGCATGCGGGGCGGCAGCAGGCAGGCGTAGACTTTTTTGAATATTTTAGTTAATGTTTAATTAGGTTTAAGTGTTCTTTGGCCAGCGTTTGACCAGCCACTTATGTTTAATTATGTATATTTCGTGCTAGTTGTTTTTTTTCACGCCGGCACATTTGGGTCGGCCTCCCCGTTGGACGGTCAAGCCGACCCATTTCAGAATGTGGACGCGCATGTCCGCCTGGCAGACCCAAACGGACGAAAAGCGGACAAAGCGTGTGTTCGTTTGGGTCGCCCCGTCGGAGTTGCTCTTAATGATGTTATTCAACAGCACCGCGGCATGGGGGGGGGGAGGTCGAGGAACTTGAGATCCAATTTGAACTCGACGGCAAGCTAGGTGGCCATCTTAACAATTGGGTCAGTTTCGCCGTGTCGTCGCGGACAAAGAATGGCGTGAGGGCCCATTTTACTCGGGTGCGCTCGTTACATATTCCCTTGTCAACTCAGACCCGC